TCTGAGTGCCCTATCCCCAGATATTGCAGGTTTTCTTGTTTTTTCTTCTTCTTTTTCCCTTTTTTCTTTTTTTGGTTACTGTTCCTGTCTGATTACATGGTGTGTATTTTGTCCACGTGCTCTTGATTTTTTGATCATTATTTAATTGTAATTTTTGTCTGAGTGGGAAACAGCAACAGTTCCCGTAAGACACAACTACATCCACAACTCCTGCAACTTCACTTACTGAGTGAGAGCCACTACCTCCTTCTCCACCAATGGGCCAATGATAAAAAAACACCAAGGAGAGCCTGAATCACCCTTGGCTGCTCTTCACAAACAGTTAACAGAGATCTAAGTACAACAATGCCACGATGCCTCGGAGACAACAGATCATCACAGTTCACACAAAGAAGCAGGATAAAGTGGTAGAAACAAGGGAGCAGGATACAGACCCAGGACATATCCCTGAGGAAAAAGCAGCATTAGAACTCTCTGATAAGGAATTCAAAAGAATTATATTTTGGTGTCTTCAAAGGATTGAGAGACAGACCAAAGAAAACACAGAAAAAACCCTGGAAGAATTTTGGAAAAACATACAAGAACAAAATGATAAAATAAATGAAAAAATTAGAAATATTTCTAAATCTGCAGATAGAAATCCAGAAGATTAATAGTAAATCGTCAGAAATAGATAATACATTGGAAGGGCAAAGGAGTAGAATTGATGCAATGGAAGACAGAATTAATGAGATTGAAGACAAATACCTGAATATTTCTTTGGAAAGGGATCAATCAGAAAAAAAAATTAAAACAAAATGAAGAAAACCTAAGGTTCATGTGGGATACCATCAAAAGGAATAACTTATGTGTCATTGGAATTCCAGAACAGGAAGAAATAGATAAAACCATTGAGAAAATTGTCCAAGATTTATTTGCTGGAGGAGAACTTCCCTGATATGATGAAAGATGAGAATATATCCATTTAGGAAGTCCAACAAACCCCAAACAGGATACATCCCAAAAGAAAACGACCAAGACACATCATCATCAAACTCATCAAAACCAAAGACAAAGACAGAATCCTGAAAGCAGCACGGGAAAAACAAAAAGTTATGTACAAAGGACAGCCAGTAAGAGTAAGTTCTGATTTCTCAGCAGAAACCACGCAAGCAAGAAGGCAATAGGATGGTATATATAAAACCCTGAAAGAGAACAATTTTCAACCTAGAAATATATACCCAGCAAAAGTGTCCCTCAAATATGATGGTGAAATT